AAATGCTTAGGGTATTATTTATAGGATCATAAGAAACTAGCTTAGACCAAGTCAGATGATATGTCAGTTTAGCTCAATATTATGATTCTGAGTGAAAAATGGGATCTTTACCATAAGTTTGTACTTAATATTTTTATAAGACTGAAGTAGGGAATGATTTGATTGCAAACCATGTGTTCCATGAACCAGCGATTGTTACTGCCCTAAGAATTATGTGCCAGTGGGGGAAAGGTAGAGAATAAACTGCAGAAATGTAAGAGACTAGTAACTGTTTGTTTATGATAGGTCAATCTCTTCAAGAAAGTAAAATTCCACATTTATTTTGTACTGAGGAAGTAGACTAAATTAAGTGTAAACACAACGTATAGAAAAATGTGCTCCTTCTTATTTGTCTTGCAATAGTTTCTTATCTGTTGCCATGTTCTATTTAAAAAGCTTCTCTCTTATTCTCCTTCCTCCTGTTTTATTTATTTCATTTATACATGTTTTGTGTGTGTGTGTGTGTGTGTGAAAGAGAGAGATTTATTTATATTGGGTTTGCATTCAAATTTAAATATTCCTATTTTTAAAATCTTGTAACAAATCATGCATTTCAAAGTAAAAGGACCATCTTCAGCCATATTATTCTAATGGATAACCAACAAGATTCAATGGAACCAGATTCTCTCCCCACTCCAGCACTTTGTGCCCATCAATAATTGAGTCTGGATGCCCACTGGAGTGTTTTGCATGGCATACAGAACTGGAGGAAGGAGAGGAAAGGAAGAGGAAGGGAAGGGAAGGGAAGGTTCAGCTAAAATTGAATAGAGTCCAGACTATGCAGTTTCCTGAAGGCATTTGGGTCATAGGATACAAAACGATATACATTTCATACGGCATATCACTATGTCTTAGTGGTTATTTTTTTAATGGAGATCGATATGTTTTATTTGCTGAATATGATTCAGCTAAGTATGTATTGTATTGTAGGGCATCGAATTGTGCCTTTATGTGCGCTACTCTGAGTCGCCTTTGGGGTGAGAAGGGCATGATATAAATATGGCAAATAAATAAATGAAGTGTGCTTTAATATTACATTAAATATGTTGTGTGGATTGCCTGTTATATCTAAAATATCTGAAATATCTAAAGTAAATATAGACAGTATAAGTAAGCTGTGTATTTTGAAGATGAAATTTAAGATTCTGATGGCCAAAAATCATTCACGATAAAAAAAACTTAGAACAGGAATCCCCTATGTTTCAAGACAAATTACTTTCTGCAACTGATGGGATTTCTTTAAAGGTTGATCGCGTCATATGGAGATTTCGTCTGTAATGTGCTCCTCATGAGGATAGGTTGGTGTGGCGAAATGACAGGGCTTTCTTTGTAGTAGCACCTTGACTGTGGAACTTCCTTCCAAAGGAAGTCGGGCTGGCTCCATGCCTCCATGAGTTTCCAGAAGGCATCTATGTTTGTGTTGTATTGCACAAACTTTGGTCCTTTAACCTGGTCTGGCTATTATAACTGTATGGTTTTAACCTATTTTAACAAGTCTTTTAAGTCTGTTGTAAGTCTGCTTTAAAAAGATTTTCTTCATTTATTTAATATTTCAATTGTATTTACTGCACATCAGTTTGGGGGCTGAGTGGCTGCGAGGCAATACAGAAATGCTTCAAATAAACAAATAAAAAGTCAACATTCTGTAAGTTGAGCACAATGGTTTAACATTAGTATAATGCTGAGTACAGTGCCTGATGTCACTGATTTGGGGTCTCCATTCCTGCAGAAAAACCTGCCAAAATGTACAGCAGCAGCCTCTGGTGGTATGAATGAATACATATATTAGCAAGCATAGGGGAAATATATTTAAAGACACATATGTATTTGTTTTATTATTTCACTATTTTTTAGACTGTACTATATTAGCAACATGCTTAAACTTATCAGCTAATGTATCTCTTATTTAATTAAGGAACAATGCCTTACTGAAATCATCACAAGTGAAATGTGTTTCTTATTTCACATTGCAAATTTTGAACAAGTTTTTGCTTTCATTCAAGCCAAATATAATCCTAAGCACGGGATTTTTCTTTTGACTATTGAACACAGTTGGCAGATGTTTTCAAGAACAAGAAAACTGTCTTACAAAAGAACAGAGTAAGATTTCCTGCCATATTGTGTGAGATGAAGTTTATTGCCCAGACCAAATCAATCCCTTTAACAAGCTGTAACATACATTGGCAAGAACATCATTTCATAGTTTTAAAAAATTAGAGTTTGAAACAATAAGCACTTTGATCTTTCAAGCTGCACTCTTAAAGCATCAGAAGGTACATACAATCTACCAGTTAGTCATTTCTATTTATATTATAGTCAGTGAAAGAGGCTTAGGACTTATATCGTAAACTCTAAATATGGATTGTTATAAAGGAGGTAAGTGTGGATTTTTGAGTAATGGAAGTGTATGCCATTCCCAGATCTATGAACATTTACTTAAAATATAAATGAGAGGAATTAATTAAAATAAATAACAAAACCAACGTACTAAATATTTCATTTTACATTATTCTTAAAATAAACTGAATTAGCAACATCAGTTCTATTATTTTGATACTAGTTAATTTATCTTTAAATTCCTTAAACTACAAATTCCTAATTTATCTGGAAAAATGGGAATGTATTTTACATAATTACCCGGTGACTGCTGTGTGTATATGCCCATCTGTAACTAATGACTAATGTTAGCAGCTTCTACTTTCTCTGTGCATAATATTTCAGTATTTTGGAAACATTCCGACTAACTTATGCACTATTTAATGTTCCTCTAGTAAGGACTGCCACATAATGGCAATTGTTTAAGATTATTGGGTTTGTAATATACTCTTCACTGTACCTATATGAAACATGACATATAGGGGAATTTATATTCAGAGAAGATCAGTAATGAGGCTCCATCCTTATCAGGTAGCCACATCTATGCTCCTTGAATAGCTGCAAAGCTTAACAGACATTTTTTTTACAAAGCTAAAGCAACAAAAACAAAAAAAGTTGAAAATGTAGCAAAAGAAATGCATTATTCCTAGGCATAAGAAAATAATCTATAGGTGTAGAGCAGATAGTAGTAGTGACTATTAAATCATATATCTTTTATTTATAGATTAGTAAGTAAACAACAATATTGATTATCTTCATATACAATATCACAAGACTTTCAAAAAGGAGACGGGTAGAAAATTAGTAGAAACTTTTCAAATGAAGCATGCATGTGATTAAATATTTTGCCTATTACTTTTGGGTATACAATGTGTTCCCAGTGCAATGCAACTATGAAACATACATTCTAATGTGTTCAATATGGAAAACACTGGATTTCAAAAGGGGGGATCCTTAACATCTTGATAAAATGTTTGGCTGTACAAAACACACTTCTACTCACACACAAATGTCTCTTCTCTGAAGCCCTTCTAAACTGGTTACAAAGGATTGGGGCCCCCAGATATGCTTTTTAGGGGCCATTGTCAAGAGGAAAATCCATAAACCTACTGAATATAGAAGTGCACGATTGAAATACCTAATCACTAGGTAAACAAGGCTAGTATGGTGTATAGTGCTTGATACAGTGTTCACACCAACCTCAAGATGAAGTAGGTAATGTCTAGTGAGTAATAAAGGGAGAGAAAAGATATGCTAGAACATTATTGCAGAGATCTACTACTTAATGTAACAGTCAAACTATAACTGTCAAGTGAAATGTAAAAAGTGGTCTTTACCCAGAACACCCCAAAGTCCCAGCATTGCTTCTTTACAGAGGCTTCTCATATAGGGGAATTAGCTAGTGAGTAATTTATTACATGTCATATTATGCTATTACAGAATGCAAGTCCTCTTTTATTACTTTTAAAATTCAACTTGTGTTTTCTTTACCCTTTCCTTTTCTCCATTCCAAGAGAGAGACATGTAATTTGCTCATGCGTGGTACAACTAAGAATGCCCTATACATTGACTAGATCTTTCCTATATACTGCACTCACGCACCATAATAACTAAAGTGTAAAAATGAAAATGACTGCCGTTTGTCTTCTAGATTTTCGTTATTCAGTCACCTTATGCACAGCATCCCATTGACATCGGAGCACTTATGGCACATTTTATTGTTGAATAACAATACTAACTTCTATGAAAAGAGATTTTAAAGTGGGATGAATATGTCTAGAATGTATAATACATTGTATGTATATGGAGCAGAATGTGTCAAAGCACAAATAATATTGTTTGTGCCCCCTGCAGAATTAAAAATCTTTGGTCAGTCCTGTTATAACGATCTCATGCTGCTAGCCTTACAAAGTGCAAAGGTTCGCTGACTAAGAAAAGAAAAGAGCAAGGGACAGAATTTCCTTACTGCACTAGTCTTGAACTATTCCGGCTTAAATATTTATTAAGATATTAATAACTCGCACCCTTTATCTTCCTTCTGAAGTTTTACTAAAATGCAATGCATAGGTACTCATATGGAAACGATACATTGCAGAATAATGATATAGCTATGTAAGATGAACATTGGTATTTTGGCCACAATATTATTACTTTACTATACACACTTTTAAAAAATGGAGGTTTTTTTTAAAAGGCTTAAGTTACTGCTTCTCAATGTGATAAAACATTTACTATTTTGAAAATCATGTTATTAAGACTGCATTTGGAATTTGTTTCTGATACACACTTTTAAAAGCATAAATCATTTTCTATATCAATCCTTCTCTCTGAAATTCATAGCATTTTCCTCTGAGGTTATTTGAAGTTTCCCTTTCAAAATAAACAGGACTTTGATTTTTAAATGAACAGGACTTTTAACTGTAATAAAAATATGAATAGAAAGGAAGTTCTGCTTTGTGTGTTTCTGTGTCATAAATGAGTAATATGTACATTTTAAATTGTGTTTTAGACTGTGCCTAGATAGTTGAAATTATAACAATTTTTCTGTTATTCACTACTAATGCAAAAAAACTAAGCCAACTTACTCTAATGTACAACTGCGTCGTTTCCTTCTCCTTTTGTGGATTCCGGTACTTTTCATAAAAGTCTCGTCGCTTCTTTGTATCTCTTTGGATTTTATCTTTTCTCTCTCTCTTTTCTGCAGGTTCATCTGAGCTATCGGGAGACAGCTGTACTTGAGCTTTTGTCTTTTCAACCTCAATATAGTTCTCATTCGGATTCAGTACTATTACTCCGTAGCCTTCCTGTTACAGAGGATAAGGAGAAAAATACACACAGCTTTGAGCTTTGAAATGATTTAAATTTTTAATTGACTTAAACATATACTGAAATACAATACATGGTTGTTATTTTCTTACATTTAACAAAGGATATGATTCTCTTTGTGCTCCTATCCAAATGTAAAAGTTCATTTCTGTTCATTTATTTGACTGATTCCATTTAATCCCTTAATGATTGTTCAATATTTTATGGGACTTAATAAAAAGAAAAAGAGGAAAATGTGCTTCTAGAACAACCACCATTTGTAAAACTTTTAATACTTAGTCTGTTTAAACCCTATTAATTTAAATCTGGATTTTATGCAGTCACACTGTGTGCAGGCTTGTAGTGTAAACTATTAAATGCTTTTGTTCAGTTCACAAACTGATGGTGGCAGTAACAATGAATCAATATCAACAGTGATCATTTGAGGTTTCTTACAAATCAATGAATTAGTTACCAGTTCAGATCTGAACCATGTTATTCAAATTAAATGTTGCATTATATTTGCAGCCCATAGGAAAAATACTAAATGTCTTCCTCTGTTTCATTTTTCTCAGAATGTATTAACTAATAAAGATGCATGTTATAAAAAGTCTAAAGATTTTCTTTGCATTAAGTAAAATATTGACACAGCTATGAAAAAGAAATCTCTAAAATAAGAAACTAATGTAAAATAGTGACACGTGACCAGTGCATTAATCCTCAAGATTATTTTGAAATCTTTATAATTTTCTAAACAAACTCCAGATATAAAAGTAAACATAGTTTTAAAAATATGTCACTCCTGCCTAATAGACAACCAAATGACATGATGAATTCCACCTACAGATGATCAAAGCCTATCAAAGTTAACCAAATTCACAGCAACAAAAGATACTTTATTTGGTGTTGCTTTATTCTAATCTGTGTAGCTATTCAAAAACCTTGTAATGCATTGTGGTAACTGTCAGGTAGACAGATTGTCACTTGGTGATTTTCTACAGTTGGACACACTCGACTAGTTATTAAAATCACATTTGAAGAAAGTTCTTACTCTTCCTTGTGCCTGTACAAGTTTTCACGCCCTTCTCAAATTTCTACTATACCCTCTCCTCCCACCAAAACCAAGTTAAAGAACACTGTTGCACTCTGTTAAGCAGGGTGAATTAGAGGCATTCAGTTCACTGTCTGTGGTGTAAGAAAACATGGTAAAAAGGTCACCATAGGCCAAAGAGAAAATTGCCTCCTTCTAGATTCTGTACCATGAGTAAGTGATCTCCTGTCATCTTTTTCCCCAGCTCTTCTCTCTACATTCGAATGGAGTGGCCATACACAAAGCAGAAATTGTACTATACTCTTTATATAAGCAACTGAAAATGAAAAATTCACAATTAGGGTGTAGTATGATAAAACGTTATAATGTACAGAAAAATGTATACCTGTCCTCCTTGATGAATGTAGAAGTACTAATAAAATAAAGGATAAAAGTATATTTCACACTATTTTAAGAAAGAATGTTTGGATTACTATTCAGAAGTGATGGTCTTAGAGTTCAGTGATTTAGTTTGCTACCCATGTTCATGACTTGTTTTTTCTATAGAGATAGTGACTTCATTGATTCTTTTGAATTTCTCTAAAATGTAAGATGTAAAATTTATGCTATAGTTTTACATGTATTCCCAAAATGTGAGACTGGGTCCATTTTTTGCTACTTGCAGAAATAGAGATACATAAATCATCACAGAAGTAAAATTTGTCTAAGTTATTGATTATGTAACTGAAAATTACATGACTCATTTGTCCAGCTTTATGAGGACATAATGTCAATTTTTCACAGACACATCAACAGATGAAAAATGAATCCATTTCAAAATTCTCAGCTTCATAAATCAATTAAAGGATTTTTATCAATTAGGTTTAAACAGCACAAACCATTCCTCACTTTCGTCTTCAAACTTTTTTTCAAAATACCATCCACGTTAGAGTAACAATAAAATTAACACACTAACATTTCAAGAAAATCTATCACATGCTTCAATGTGTATTTCAAAAAATCCATTATAAATGTTGTTTTCTTTGCAAAAAAGTTGACATAATGTCATACTTTGTTATGCCCTTTGTTCCCAGCCACTTCAGCCTGAAATATATGAGGAAAAATAGGCACAGGAAAGAGGATTAGGGGTAACACACAATACTTGCTCAGATGAAAGGAGATAGAAATGTAACATAATGTATATAACTGTGGAAGAATTTAACCTCTATCGGTATTACAAAATTGTTACCAACCTAACCTATCAAAAGTTAATCCAAGGGTTTAACTAAAATATGGCCTTTGTTTCCTCTTTACCTATGAAACAAGTATGGTTTTGTTTTTAGTACTCCATCAGAGTCTTTAGTACTTGTAATTTAAATTACAACATGTTTTTTTAAGTGACCTTTTAGGAGAATAGCCCCAGTTTCAATATTTGAAACAACGATGTGTTACCATCAGATTATCAAGGAAAACACCTACTTTCGATGCATTATCCACACAGCAAGGATATATATTATCCTCGTTTCCATCAAGTTAAAGCATAGCTGACACCAAAGAAAGTTCAAATAAATACTGTAAATATGTCATAAGAAGTAATAAACCATAACGATTGCTTTATTTTAAGAAGGCTTAATACTACTGACTTCATTGGAGGAAAACCTTCTCCAGGTTAAAGTCCTAATCAAAAGAGTATCGATTGATAGCTACCAGTGTTACCTTCCAGTATAGGTGATAAAACTGAAAAACCAGATGCAAGAAAAACTCTCAAAAAATGAAAGAAACTCAAACACAAATATTTTAAGATGGTTTTCATTTTATAAACACAGAGATTATATTATGCAGATGTTAGTTTAGCCTTTTTTTTGTTACCAGATATTTTCAAAGTAAAATTTGGATATTTGTAAATAGTTTGGATCACGAAAATCATGCTTTTGTCCGCAATATAAATGTGTTCCACAAAATATGTTATGTACAAAGGAACCAATTACACAACCGTCTATTTCCGGGTGTATATGGAAGCCAATGAACTCCATGATCAGAACAATTTGTGTAATTAAGTATTATCAGGACATACCCTGATAGATAGCCAACGTAATATAATCCACTTCGGTTCTAAATTTTACACCACCCTAGAAAATTTTACTAGTATAACTCCTGAGTCTATGGCTTAAGATAATGTAAATTAAGAACATATCAACTATTATGTTGCCAGAGTTAAGGATAAATGCTGTTCTCAATCTTACATATGAATTTACATAACAGGTAATAATGTAGGTGGTGGCGGAAGTAAAGGAAGCATAGACGTACAAGTGCTGAAAATCACAGAATATTTCAAAGATAGTAGTTTGTATCATGTGTCAAATAAATGCCACAAGTGAACTGGGTAGCAAGATGGAATAGTAAATAAGAGAACACTTTGCTATATTATTTTTGGGGAATTTCAATTAAATGCTAAATTTTATAAAATGCTTTGTGTTTACTTACTAATCATTAAAGCCTGCTAGCCAGTAGTAGAATAATGAATAATGTTTAAAATATTTAATATACATTCTGGAACTCTACAAACCTCCCCTGTCTGGTCAAATGAATAATGAGCTAAAAGTATTCAGCCCCGCAGAGTAATCCACTACGTTGGGATGCCATATGTGACCACAGAGGTCAGAGGCTAGAGTGGAATCTGTTGACCTATGTATCTATCTTTTTGGCCTGTAACTAAAAATCTGTAACAGATCATTTTCCTGAGCTTTATCAAGCTGATTTTTTTAAAAAAAAACTATTTAGATCATTTCAAGCAAGATTAAAGCTAATCCTCTAGGGAAAAGCAATCCAAAGACGGCTGATCTGTAACCTAGAACTGTGCATGGTTAAAATGGACACAGGATAGCCATTCATCTTTTTGAAAGATGTATGATCTGTTTATTTCCCATCTTTTTATGAGAAGCGTACCTATGTGTCACTGTTGCAACATCCTAGATGCAACAGTAGGATGAGGTCATGACAACCAATCAGAAGTCACTAGTGAAGCGTAAAAGTAAACATAGCTGTTGGAGATGCAGCTCAGCTTGAAAAATGCCCCCTCCATTATTTGAGCAATTTTCTCAAGACGTGACCTGAGACTGAAACGCCTGAAATGTCAGTTGACTCCTTTTTGTATTTTCTCCCAATGTGCATTTTGGCAACTGCACCCTGCTAACACTTTGTAATATTTTTATCCCAGTTACACCTCATCTCTCAGGCTCCTGAATTCCACTGCTGTGTCCAAGTGTGTAAAAATGCTGTATTCCTGCCAAACTCGCATTGTTCCACCAAGTTTCCAACTTAAAATAGCTCATCAAGCTAGGCAGGAAAAGAAAACATACCACAAAAAGTTTTTAGGGGACCACCTGTTGTCTATTATTTTTACATAGCACTTACTCATAAATCATAACACAGGGTAATTAATCAAGCTGTCAAAGAAAAGGTCAAAGGTTAGGTAGGAGAGTCAGAAGGTCATGCATGGGCTGATAGAGGTCAGGGTCACACCACATTCCTCATTATCAAGTTGGGATGAGAGACGGTCCAAGCAAACAAAAGTGAAAGCAGATGGAGAAGTGAGTGGATGGAAAAAAAGAAAGAAAACTTCACAAACAAAAAGAAAAGTGAAAGAAGAGTGTCAGCTGCCTTCAAATAAAGAACAGAATAGAACTGAAATACACTGAAATGTGCTCAAAAGATCTAATACAACATAAAGAAATCTATATTTTGATTATTTAAATCTGATACAAATTTGGATGATCTTCTAGAAAATAAGCAATAATACAATTATATATTTCTGAGCTTTAGCACAGTTATCTACCATTTCTCAGGCAAATCAGAAAAAATAGTTTGGACATCATCACAACCTGCTGTTTTTCCTTTTGTTACTACAGCCTAGAGAAACATAATAAAAAGCTTTTTATTGTGTATGAAAAATAGGTTCTGAGCTACTTT